ACTGTGGCGTTACTGCGTGGCTTACTCTACCATATACGAACAGTTGGAAGGGAAAGCCGGTGAACGCGAGAAACCCCCACACCAATCACGCCAAGCTCCTCAGTACATATCGACCTCTGACCCCTGCCTTCCGTACTGACCTCAATTACCCGGCTGGAAAAAGGTTTACGACTAGTGCTAAGAAATTGGTCATGAGCACCGTGGACCACAGCTTCAGCGACAAGCGAACACTAAGAGGGACTGACCCTACTAGTCTGACTGACTTCCTGCTGGCAAGGTCACGCACGGAGGTTCACTATAAAACATCACCAGAGATCAGCTGTACTTTTCTAAATTATCGACAATAGTAATTTCCTTTGTGTCATGGCCCAGCATCGCTTCTTTTCGTCCTGCGCCTTTGTCTAGTTACTTTTTTCCAGGCCCTTCTGCACATTTTGGTAGTACCGCTGGTATAGCATTTTTATGTCGCTTGTCCTATTGTTCCTCTACTGCTACTACTACTACTACACTTATGTAATACTTCAGTGATTAATTCCGCCCCCCCACACTCTGTCATGGACCCCTTCATACTTTTCCCTTCATATTCATTTCTAGATTTTTAATTTCATGCAATGCCACATTTCCCTGACTAGGCTTTCTCTCAAATTCCAGTATGTCCAACCACTTGGGTTGGACGGTAGAGAGACGGTCTTGCTACATGCAGGTCAGCGTTCAATCCCCGACTGTCCAAGTGGTTAGGCACCATCCTTTCCCCCCTCCCCCTCCCCTGTTCCATTCCAAATCCTTATCCCTTCCAATTGCTATGTATTCGGTATGGCTTAGCGCTTACTCCTGATAAATCCTTCCTTTTTTTCCATTCCTGTATTTGCCTACGATTCCCACATATATCCCTCAAGAGACCGTCCTGCTTCTCCAGTGCTGCTTTACTCCTTCGCTAGTTGTGGTCTGTTCTCATCTGAGATGATATAGTGGAAACAAATTAATCCCTTAACCATTGATTGATTGATGAAGATTAAGCCACCCAAGAGGTGGCACGGGCATGAATACCCCGAAAGGGTCCTAACCGTTGAATAAGCGACCTTGCGGGACTAGGACCCCAGCCCGGGGCTATAAATTTGTCAAGTGACGTCCTTGTATATGACGACTTCTGCAGGAAATTGCCTGGTAATGATATTTGACCCATCATGTTTTTATTTCACTCACTTCGGCGCATGCGTTACTGTCTGTATTGACGTTGTGGAATTGACGCTCGTGAGTACGGATGTGACTAATGTAAATGTTGCGGATACATGGGTAAAGGTGTAGATATATACAGGGTAATGTCCTCACACTAAATGTATCCATGTTTGTTTGCTATGGATTAAAGCGTACAAATTTAGCTGCCTATAGTGGAAATAAAAGACGAAATTGTAAACCTCCCCAGATTAATGAGGCTGAGTATGTCAGGAGCGTCATGGTGGCAGCCTAGCCTCAAAAATTATAACAGCGCACTCACAGCGGTTGGGAAATATCTGTTTAAAATATGGACTGCCGTTAATCTGCCGTCCAAACCTTATAGTACCTACAGCGACTATGAATGAACCTATAGCGACTGTGAATGGACATAGAGCGACTGTGAATGGACATAGAGCGACTGTGAATGGACATAGAGCGACTGTGAATGGACATAGAGCGACTGTGAATGAACCAATATCGATGGTGAATGGACCTATATCGACTGTGATTGAACCTATAGCAATTGTGAATGAACCTATAGCAATTGTGAATGGACCTATAGTGACTAAGTAAAATTATAGCGACTGCGAACCAAAAGCGACTGTGAATGGACCTACTGTACAGCGTATGTGAATGGAATATATATGTTTTCTGTTATTCATTCTGCATAGGGCCTGATAGCTGAGTGGACAGTGCTCAGTATTCGTAATCCTGAGGTTTTGGGTTCGATCCCCGGTGGAGGCGGAAACAAATGGGCAGTTTCTTTCACCCTTATGCCCCTGTTACCTAGCTGTAAATAGGTACCTGGGAATTAGACAGCTGCTACGGGCTGCTTCCTGGAGATATGTAACAAAAAGGAGGCCTGGTCGACGACCGGGCCGCGGGGACGCTAAGCCCCGATATCATCTCAAGATAACCTCAAGATAGGGCCCGAGAAAGAACGTGACAACCAAACCTAACTACACAGGGTATGGTATGAGTATGTGCTAAATTAGGCCTAGGATAAGTTAGGTTAGGTTTGTAGTTAATCTGTTTCTGCATTTGTTATGCTCTTTAGACTTTCAAAAGTACAAAACAAGAACTTCATTTGACACAACAGTACATATTTTGTATATTGCAACCATAGCAGCTACAGGCAGTACAGTGCTTGCAGGATGGGTTGATTGTTGCAAACGCTAGTGATAATTTACATTTCGTAAGAGACAAAACTAGCCTAATCCATCTTGAACTAACCAAACGTACCCTAACCCCTTCCATGGTGCATATATTAATTGTTAGGTCTATAATACGTTTCGTTCGGCTTAAATTAATTAGGTTGCTGTCTTCGTTTTTTGTTTTAGTAAATAAGTTTATTTCCACTATCTTCAAAATCGAAAAAAATATGATTTGCCGATATTTTGTAAATATATTTCCCATTCTTTCAAAGTTATATATTATCACTTTGGAGGATGGGTTGAGGTTTGACACTTACACCTACAGGAAGGTAAAACTGTTTAAATTAGAATTCTTAAATTGTATAAAAAGCGTGATTGTTCGCTTTCGTGTTCTAACTGAAGTTATGGAATGGGCATAGTAGCCTATACGGAGGCCACGAAGGATTACTGTATATGGATCCCAACGCTAATCTACTAAGATAATGTCCCATGTGCAAGAATAATCTCACATACAATAGGCTTGTAGGAATAGAGTAATAGCTAGCAAAGAAAGTATACTGCATTTGGGTTTGATGTACAATGCTCGGGTACAAGTGTTTCCAACCCTTTTACACCATGGCAGATCATTGAAAGATATGCAAGTCGGCCGGCAATTCCACAACACCAGCTCCCAATGACGCTAGCTACTGGTGACAGATCAGACATGAAAGTCGTGGAATTGCCACCCGACTTGCAGATCTTTCAATGATCTGCTATGGTGTAATGGTTAGTGTACTGGCTGGCCACCTGGTTAGCCAGTTCAATTCTCTCATAGGGGAAAAGTTTCTGTGTTAAATAAATACATACATAATATATATATATATATATATATATATATATATATATATATATATATATATATATATATATATATATATATATATATATATATATATATATATATATATATATATATATATATATATATATATATATATATATATATATATATATTCACACACACACATACAAGAGTTCTTACATTCTTGTACAGCACTAGCACGCGTAGCATTTCGGGCAAGTCCTTAAGCCTATGTTCCCCAGAATACGACCCGCCAAATCGTTTAACAACCAGGGAACCCCATTTTATTATTGGGTAAACAGAGGCTACAGTTAAGAATTGACGCCCAGTAAATCCTCCCTCGGCCAGGATACGAACCCAGAGCAAAGTGCTCGCGAAACGCCAGGCGAGTGGCTTAACCCCTACACCATGGGGACTGCTATGTCAAAACGGTGATGTAATATTCACAGATTTTGGGAATCTGTGTATAATTCCCGAATTATACACAGATTCCCGAAATACAATTATACACAAATTATTATAATAATTATAATATATAATGAATCTGTGTAGTTTTCGATAAATGTGAGCTCAAAAGGAATTACTGACAAAGTAAGAAGATGGATCTTTAATTTCCTAGCGAACAGAACCCAGAGTGTAACACTCAACAAAGTATATCTGCCTCATCCACCAGGAAAACGTCAGTCCCCCGTCGCACTATGCTTGCTACAATACTTTTTCTCATTATCATTTCGGACTCAGACAAGAGCACAAACTATAGTACTGTGCCATCCAATACACATGACACTAGGTGTTTTTTTTTTTAATGAGAGTAGACAATATGGATGACACATCAAATCTCCAAATATATGTAAATCAGGTCTTGGTACAATGAGGACAAGTTCCTGTTCCTCCGATATAGTAAATGCGATAATATAAAATCGGAAACCACATATAATACGCAATCAAATCACACAATAGAAATAAAAACAAGTAATCACGTCGGAAGACCTTATTTTTAAAGAACATTAAGTATTCATGACTTTTTCATTACTATCCCTCTATATATATTTTTGGGGGGATATATACAAGAGTTATTACATTCTTGTACAGCCACTAGTACGCGTAGCGTTTCGGGCAGGTAACTGGAATACGATCCCCTGCCGCGAAGAATCATTTTTACAACCAAGTACACATTTTACTGTTGAGTTAAACAGAGGCTACAGTTATGGATTTACGCCCAGTAAATCCTCCCCGGCCAAGATACGAACACATGACAAAGTGCTCGCGGAACGCCAGGCGAGTGTCTTACCACTACACCACGGAGACTGTAATAGACTATATATAATTAGACGACCTCTCATAGTGTTCAACAGAGAACTTGATAATCACGTCCAAAGGATACCTGATCATCTGGGTTGGGATTCATACGACAGACTGCGTGCAACGGACTCTAAACAGCCTGGTTGACCGGACCACCAATCAGGGGTCCTGGTCACAGACAGGACGGTGGGAACACTGATTTCCGCAACTATGCCAGTCAGGTATGTGCATGTACACAGTTGAACAAGTGCATGCAAGTAACTCGACAATCTTGCTAAGGGATATTATATTTAAAGCTAACTGAAATATATTTATAGAGACAATAAGGGTACGTATGTTAACTAGACTTCCTTGAGATAAAATATTTAAACAAGCTTACCATTTTTGTTTACATATTCAAACCGATTATTTTCGAAAAAAATAGTTCGGGAGGCATATACATCATAATATTGCAAATCCAGAAAGTCTATTAAGTATTATAGACCTACCTTGAGGATGATGCAGCTCCTTGCTTCCCTGGTGAAGTCCTGTGGGCGATGTGATCCTCGCCAGAGACAAGCGCGAGCCTAGTTTCACTAATATCAACTGAACTCAATATCACTCGTCAGTTCACATACGTTAAAGCTCACTCGCACTTTTCCTTACTCTTTTTCAGGGGATTAATTTTGTTTCAAGATTTCGGGCTACAATTTAAATTAGGAACCGGTTGCAATACCTTTCTATAATTCAAAAATAAATCGTAACACTAATTTAGCCTAATCTATGACATCACTCGTTTTCTCTGAAGCACAACAACGATATAAACACTTTCGTGCGCAATTTTTATTTTATTTCCTTTATGCGTAGTTTCAGGCTTGTGGTTGGTGGGTAACTTGCCCGGTGGGGCGAAGTTGTGAGGAGGGCGGGTCACACCGCCACTTGAGCCTGGCTTCTACCGTCACTACTGAAGTGGACAACCTCACTCCTGCACAACCCCACACTACTGATGCGCACCAACTGGGGACCTCGAGAATGGTGTGATACTGATAGCCACTACACCTTAAATACGGGCACTTGGACGCTTATATAACACTACGCTCTGTAAGTTGCACTGAATGAGCCGTGTTTCGGACGCACACATACACACACTCGGCCTTCACTTATTTTCGCTCACAACTGACCTTGTACTTGCCCAAGATATTTTTTTTTCAACGCGCACTGCAAGGCCTATGTTGACTAAATCTGAGTTTCACGAGAATTATGTAGACCAGTGTTGCCGTCTCGTGGGGCTGGCGACTACGGCTGTCACTGGTAACAGGTCATAACTTTGTAAACATTCATCACAATGCTTACTTGAAAACCTTCTTGACAGATCTACTTCTGTTAACAATGACAATTTCTCTTGACTGACATTTAAAAGACGTTGTCTGACACCTTGGCTCAGCTTGACACAGTCGCACTTATATTTGATTTGACAATTATTTAAAGTGTACTACGTATCCTGACGCGTATCCTTAAGAGTAGTCAGAAACAGTTTGGGTTTATTAATTCATAATATTAACACTACTAAAATAGAACATAAACTACTGCGAATTAAGTGGTTCAGCCAAATAGCAACCCAAGCTTTCAGAGGTTACACACTGGAGCACAAGACAATTACCAGGTCGGTAGTTAACAGGGGTCCCTCGGACAGTTGTTCATCAAGACCATGTGTGACCGGGGTCTGTGCCACACGAGAGGTAGTTAACACGGGTCCCTCGGACAGTTGTTCATCAAGACCATGTGTGACCGGGGTCTGTGCCACACGAGAGGTGGTCTTTGTGCCAGGACCGCCTCCACCTAGCCCTGCCGACAAGACAACACACTTAGAGGAAACACGTGTCACAAGTTAGAGCAGCTTAACCAGCACTTAAGCAGTTCTGTGATCAAGTGGCCACGATACACTTGTCTTGGTAGTGGTGAAGAGCGCGCTACAAGCTCCGAGGGTTGCCGAAGTGGGCGAGGAAGGGGTACGCGAGTGAAGGTGGGCGCGGGTGGACTCCAGCGTGTGGTCGCCACCAGGTGCGGCGGGCGAGTGGTGAGATGTGTGGCGGCGGGAGCTGCGAGAGGGGGTTACCGGGTGCCCACCTCACCCACGCCAGACCTGTCACTACCGCCGCCCACCTCACCCACGCCAGACCTGTCACTACCGCCGCCCACCTCACCCACGCCAGACCTGTCACTACCGCCGCCCACCTCACCCACCCCACACCGCCGCCCACCACACCCACGCCACACCGCCGCCCACCTCACCCATGCCAGACCTGTCACTACCGCCGCCCACCACACCCACGCCACACCCTCGCCCACCACACCCACGCCACACCGCCGCCCACCTCACCCACGCCACACCGCCGCCCACCACACCCACGCCACCCCGCCGCCCATCTCACCCACCCCACACCGCCGCCCACCTCACCCATGCCAGACCTGTCACTACCGCCGCCCACCTCACCCACGCCACACCGCCGCCCACCACACCCACGCCACCCCGCCGCTCACCTCACCCACCCCACCCCGCCGCCCACCTCACCCACGCCGGACCTGTGAGTACAAACAGAACAATCTCTTGTTCGCTGAAGAGATTGTAATCATTCAATTGACTGGACTAATTCATACAAAATTGTTGAGTATAAATCAGTTAGTGAAAGAAACATTATTAAATCTTCATTTATAAAATGCAGCAAATAAGATAATATTAACGTAAGTCGAGGATTATATAAATTACAAAGTTTTATAATGGGTAAGACTTGTGATATAGATCAAATTATGTGAAGTATATTACAAGAATTAGGAAATAGTGTATCCCAGTTACATCATGTCACATTATTCGAAATTACGTTTAAGGATCTTAATCTACTGAGGTGTTAGGCTTATATAACCCCAAACCCATGTATTTTCTGTCTAAATTCCTTGAAAATGCGTTGAAACACGAAAACGTTCGGAATTTTCGTTTCCTTTTATTCCTATATGGATATTGACGCATAACCGTATCGCGTGTTTTTGTGATTATTTTTAATATATATTAAATAAATGATTCTAGTACGCATCCTCTCTATGTTGTTCATGTTCTTTACTTGAGAAGCAAGTTGAAAAAGCAACTCTCCGAAGCTAAATTGAGGAAAGATGTACTCGTTCGTAAGTGCTTGCGTAAGTGTTTAGTGAATCTGGTCCCGGATGCTTTTATTCATTAGTTTACAAATTTATTGTTGGGTTAGTTTACATCAATTTATAGTAACTTATTTACCTAAGAGAAGGTACTAATAATAATAATAATAATAATAATAATAATAATAATATGTTTTATCAGTATAATTATATATTGTATACACAGTTTGGAAAATATTTATTACTTATTAATTAGGTATTTGGGGGGGGGGGGGGGTGACAGTGTATGAACTCCCTGTAGCGTTCCCCTTGGTAGGACCCCTTAACAACACTCCTTAACAACACCCCTAGCAACTCCCCGCTAGCAACACCCATAGCAACACCCCCTAGCAACACCCTCCCTAGATCACCACTCCAAGCAACACCCTCCCTAGATCACCACTCCAAGCAACACCCCCTAGCAACACCCTCCCTAGATCACCACTCCTAGCAACACCCCCCTAGATCACCACTCCTAGCAACACCCCCCTAGATCACCACTCCTAGCAACACCCCCCTAGATCACCACTCCTAGCAACACCCTCCCTAGATCACCACTCCTAGCAACACCCCCTAGATCACCACTCCTAGCAACACCCCCTAGATCACCACTCCTAGCAACACCCCCTAGATCACCACTCCTAGCAACACCCCCTAGATCACCACTCCTAGCAACACCCATAGCAACACCTCCTAGCAACACCCCCCTAGATCACCACTCCTAGCAACACCCCCCTAGATCACCACTCCTGGCAACACCCCCCTAGATCACCACTCCTAGCAACATCCCCCTAGATCACCACTCCTAGCAACACCCCCTAGATCACCACTCCTAGCAACACCCCCCTAGATCACCACTCCTGGCAACACCCCCTAGATCACCACTCCTAGCAACACCCCCCTAGATCACCACTCCTAGCAACACCCCCTAGCAACACACACCCTTAGCAACACCCCCCTAGATCACCACTCCTGGCAACACCCCCTAGATCATCACTCCTAGCAACACCCATAGCAACACCCCCCTAGATCACCACTCCTAGCAACACCCCCTAGCAACACCCCCTAGCAACACCCCCCTAGATCACCACTCCTAGCAACACCCCCTAGATCACCACTCCTGGCAACACCCCCTAGATCACCACTCCTAGCAACACCCCCTAGCAACACACACCCTTAGCAACACCCCCCTAGATCACCACTCCTAGCAACACTCCCTAAGCAACACCCCCTAGCAACACCCCACTAGATCACCAATCCTGGAGTATGCAGCTCCAGCCTGGAGTCCATACCTAGTTAAACACAAGACGAAGTTAGAGAAGATTCAGAGGTGTGCCACCAGACTGGTCCCGGAACTGAGAGGAATGAGTTACGAGGAAAGGCTAAAGGTGCTGAACCTCACAACCCTGGAAAACAGAAGAGTAAAGGGAGACATGATAACCACCTACAAAATTCTCAGGGGAATTGACAGGGTGGACAAAGACAAACTCTTTAGCACAGGTGGAACACGAACAAGGGGACACAGGTGGAAACTTAGTACCCAGATGAGCCACAGAGACGTTAGAAAGAACTTTTTCAGTGTCATAGTTAACAAATGGAATGCATTAAGTAGTGTTGTGGTGGAGGCTGACTCCATACACAGTTTCAAATGTAGATATGATAGAGCCCAATAGGCTCAGGAATCTGTACACCAGTTGATTGACAGTTGAGAGGTGGGACCAAAGAGCCAGAGCTCAACCCCCACAAACACAACTAGGTGAGTACACACTTCTCATTAATTAAAAAAATGCATTGGCCTTTGCAGTGTGAAAATTGAGAAGGAAGAAAAGGAATATTTATATAAAAACTTTGAACAATTTACTTTATTATCAAGATAAACAAATAAAATATGAAATATACACAAACCCCTAACTTCAAACACCTGGCTAATGACACAAAAAGAATAATATATCGACGCAACCTTACGTTAACACCAAATAAGGGTTACACTAAAAATGATTACACAACACTACACCCTGGACACAAAGTGTCTGGAGGCAAACTTCACATCAAGGACGCGATGTCTGAGCACCTGAGAGACTGACGAACTGACTGGGGTTGGGGGTATATATACCCGTGACAGTAACGTCAGCACCTTTGTCAAAGTGGGCTAACGAGTCGGCGGCAACATAACAGCCGATTTTCATAGACAAAATTAGTCACCGACTGGTCACCTGCTGCACACCTGCAGTGGGCTCTCGGTGGGTGTCCTGGTAGGGTTGTCTAGATGTTCGTGTTTAACTTGGGTGAGCTCCATACCGGACATTTTATGAGGTGTGTAGGTCTGGAGGATGTATTGTAGAGTGGTGAATAACCTTACAATGACGAAGGTAAAAATGAAGAGGCAGTTTCCTGGCTATGCTGGAGAATTATGTGATTATATATATATATATATATATATATATATATATATATATATATATATATATATATATATATATATATATATATATTATAATATAGTGTGTATGTGTGTTAGACTGAAGGCTCGACGCTCCCATCCCAGTTAACTGTTATGCTTGGCAGAATGGTCACTAGGGCATCCTCTTAATCATGGCTGGTCATCAAGGTATATTAGGGTAAACTCCCAGAATCACCTTCTTCACTCCCTCGTCTGAAATGAGCTCCACCTAGTGGAGAGGTGCTCTGACTTCACCCAGGAAGCACCGAACCTTTACCGCTCCCATGGGTCGCTCATCATAACTCTCAGGGAGACTCTTCTTAGACACCAGGCTTATCTCAGTCCCAGTGTCTCTATAAATCACAACGTCGACCGGGTATATATTCGAGCTTGAGAACCAAAGGAAGGTAACCACTAGCGACACTCTGCAAGCTGAACTGATCGCAGGAGGGAAGATCCGAGGGAGATACAAAAAGCACTATACTGACCCCCGGAGCTCAGAGCGGCAGCTAAGAGCCTCCGTGATAACAAGGACGTGGTAGTAAGGAGAGGCGACAAGTCAACAAAATAAGTCATCCTAAAAAGACATGAGTTTATTGCAAAAATGAACCTTATCCTCTACGACCAAACAAAATTCCTGAGGGTCACGAGGGATACAACGGCAGAATTGAAAACGAAAGTAAACAAACTGATCGAAACTGTCAACGTAAAAAAGTCTGGAGTTGACCTATCAAAAACCACTGGAGAATACAAACCCGGCTATGCATATGGAAACGTCAAAATCCCATAAACCTGGGAACCCACTGAGGCCAATCATCAGCCAGGTACCAACGCCCACGTACAAGCTGGCTATGCGACTCAACTCGCTGTTGGCACCCTACGTACCGGGTGCGTTTAGCCTAAGGTCGCCGAAGGAATTCGTTGACCTGTTGAGAGGATCACGGGCTGCAGGTGTAATGGCCTCCCTGGACGTGGAGTCACTGTTCACTAATGTGCCCATGAACGAGGCTATTGGAATGATGATGGACAGAGTGTATCGATCCGACTAGCACTCCTCTGGACATACCAGAGAGCATATTAAGAAAACTGCTTGAAGCTTGCACAAAAGATGCACCCTTCTTAAGTCCTGAGGGACACATGTAAAAGCAAGCTGCCCTTTCTAGATGTAACAGTCACGGAAAGGAACGGAGGCTTCCAAACTGCAGTCTACACTAAGGAAACAAACATAGGAATGTGCATCAATGCCAATAGTGACTGCCAAGACAGGAACAAGAGGAGTATCTGGAGTGTTGTCAGTGCTTACGTTGACCGGGCTCTCAGTCACAGCTCAGGATGGAAGCAAGTCGATGAAGAACTTTGTAGGGCAAGGCAGGTCCTAGTTAACAATGGCTTCTCTAATGGTTATGTGAAGACGTCATAAAAAGAAAGGTGAAACGC